TCCAGTGGTATGTGGTTCATAAACGCATCTACAAACATGTTTAGTTTTGTTGGCATATGTGTTCACTGGGCGAAATAGGGGCCTTAGTTCAGTGCTTCACAACTGTGAGTGAAAATATCACTGAGAGTACTTGGCAATCTCTGGAGGCTGTTTTTCACTTTCAAAATGAAGTGTAGAATTCCTACGGCTTCTACTGGGTGAGATCAAAGAACCTGCTAAAATCCTCTCTGAGGCCGCTGACTCAAATTCCTACTCACATCATCTCATAAGTATTTGGCTCAAAATATTAATGACAGTGTTGAAAATATGATTTGGAATAAAAGAAAGCATACAACAAGGACAACATTCTGTAAAACTTTAATAGAACTACTCCAAAACCTCAGTGGAGAGCAGTTTAAAGAGAAAGAACCAAAAAACATCTATTTTTGTTATCCTTATGTATACTACCTGAAAATACATATGAGGACTTAGCTACTTAATTTACACATCCTAGAGTTTATACATGCATGCATACATACACACATACATAGGTGCACACACAAGTGATACTTGCATACACACATGCATACATGCACATAAATTCACACACACATTCATGCATATACTCACACTGCACATGCACACACATGTACACACATGCAAATGAACGACTTTCATTTTATTCTCACATAATCGCTTACCTTTGCTGAAATTTTAAAATTAAAGCTAGTTTCTTATTGTTGGATAAAATAGCATACCAAATAGAAACAGGAGTTCAGCCTCCTTGATGTTTTGTGGTAATGTGCCCAATTAAAAATAACTAGACCCCCCAATGAATAATTACAGGAATACCCAATATACTATACTTCCAGCCAGATTTTATTCAATCATAAATATAAGCCAGAAAAATGAATGATTGCTATGCTGCTCCCTGCTGTATCTGTAATGTTTCTGAATCAAAGCTCTTTCCCGAGTTGGGTATTTTCACTCCACCTTTCTTTGCTGTGCAATCATCTCTCAGTTGGACAATTAATAAGTACTTTCCCTCCATAGCTCTAGATGTGCAACCTGCTTTACCCTGCATTTTCGCACACACTTTATACCTTCTTCATTCTGACTGGTTTTGGCAGTGACCCATAATCTAAATTTCTTTTCCCCATTTGATATAAGTGAAACCATAATTATCTAGGGCTAATTTCAAATGACTACTTCATTCCACTCTCAACTGATGAAGATTAGTGGTCTTGCTTTGCATGTGAGTAAGTCAGCAACACAATCACAAGAGAACTCAGCAGGCAACATTTGATTCACGTGAACTCAATTACTTCTGTCAAACACACCCATTTCAATAAAAAGCAGAAACTTCCAAAATAGGCTTTTGCTAACCATTTTGTACTAAAAACATCATATGACTCCTGAGGGAAAAATAATACGGAATACATAAGAAATAATAATAGATAACTGGTAAGGAAACAGACATGGCTAAATGGAATTGGATTAGTATTTTTTCCTGAAAACAAAGAACATTTCAAAGACATAATTTTACGTGCTTAACAGTAGTTAATTATAGAAACTTGAGACATGTATTTCAGCAATGCAAAGCTAATATGGCACATTTAAGTTAATAAAATAAAACTAAAACATTGCAGTATTTGACCCAACACTAATTACTACAGATAAAGTTGTCCACTTCTCTTAAAGGAAGTTCAGTGGGAGCTTCAAGTGATATCAAGATAAAGGATCATGTATAACTTAACTGACCTTGTCCACTCAAGTTGTGCTCTGTTATCATTAGAGGTGAGACCATATAGTTAATTAACTGTCTAGCATTCTCAAACCCAAAATTAAATTTCTAAAAATCTTTAGGTCAATCCCATCATTCCTACAGGGTTAAGAGGTCACACACGCATGATTGACCAGGTTTACCAGGTCAATTCCTGGAGAATTCTGCCAAAGCTCATGTACAATAATGTATTACAATACGTATATTCAAACTTCAGCTTCTTGACATAATGGAATTCTTAATTAAACCTTAACCTAATTTGGTTAGCATAAAGACTGAGTAATTAAATATCATTACATAGTAAGTCCACTTAATAAATATATTTCAATAGACCACTTTTGTGGCTTGACAAAATTGACTGAGATGTTGTCCAGCGTGGTGAATACATGAAATGCCAATCATTTCAAAGCATGAAAATGACTGTTTTCTTGCTGCTGAGAATTTGGCCTCAAAGTTTTTGCCCATGAAAGTATTATTTTAGAAGATTTTTCAAATATAATTTTGAACAGAACATTTTCTGTATGTGAATAGAAATGTAAAATAAATCAACAAAACAGTATTTTGCACACCTTTGTACATTCCCTTTTCCCTTTTTTGACTCCACTCATTTTCCTATAGGTTTCAAATTTTTCTCACTCCTTAATCCAAACACTTGCCATAAGAAGTGAATAACACATTGGAAATAAAAAGAATCATTAATTAAATAATAAATAGTAAACTAGGTAAAACTGAACATCTAAATTATTCTATGAAAAGGCAGCGTGTAAGTAAATAAGATTGAGCCTTGACCCAGTGTTGACCAGGTATAACATCCCTCAAGAAGCAATACTGGAGTGCAAAACTGAAGGATGAGTAGGAATTAGCCAGGAATGATGGAGACAGATGGCTGTTAAACAAAGCAAGTGCTGGGCATTGGTGGGACACGCCTTTAATACCAGCACTCGGGAGGCAGAGGCAGGCAGATCTCTTTGAGTTCGAGGCCAGCCTGGTCTCCAGAGCGAGTGCCAGGATAGGCTCCAAAGCTACACAGAGAAACCCTGGCTCGAAAAAACAAAAAGAAAAAAAGGAAAAAAAAACAAGGCAAGAGTAGAATTATAAAAGGATGAGTAATGCAGTGGAAAAAAATGCTTTGGAGAAACTGAACGTAACTTGCATGCTTAACACAGAGACAATCTTGGGTTTCTTGTAGCTGGAGTTAAAAATAATTTTAAGCTGCTACATGGGAGATGGGAATTGGACTCAGGATTTATGCAAGAGCATCTGTATTCAACCACTAAGCTGTATTAATATGGAATAATTTAAAGATTCTTTTTTTTTTTTACAACATGAACTTTTCATTGCACCCCACTGCCACTCATTGTAGTCCCTACTCAATTATGAAGACTATGAGGTGAGAAAGAAAAGGAGATTAGTGTTAAGTTCTCTCACTAATACATATTTGGTCAGACACACTATTCATCTGAGATAAACTTTCAATGATGTGTCAATAAGATATTTTCATCTCATCAATTCAAATTTTATCCTCTAAGGGATCTCACGCTTAATATTTTTCCTGTTAATATGAATATTACCTGTTAATATGAATAAAAACAAATTTTGTAGTGGTCTAATTTGGCCTCTACTTACTCCCTAAAATAAGGTAAATAATCAGTCCTGTAGATGGTTGCATTAAAAGGACAACAAGCAATTTTAAGACATTATTAGTAAACTGCATATTTACAGAATTTTATGATGAACTATTGTCAACATTAATTGAGTTTTCTATTATGCAATTATATATGGCTTTATAAACTATAAAATGATGTAACTATTCAAAAACATGAAACATGGTATAAGACCTTTTACATAAATCCAATCAAAAGAACTATGATTCACTTCTCCAACAAACTTAGAAAAATAATGCCTCTTTGACAACATTCTTAAATGTGTGTCTGCATTTGTCTTAAGTGTGTTCATGAGTGTGTGTATCAAGAATAGTTTACATTGAAAATAATCATAAAATTATCTATAAATAATATTTAAGTTCTGAAAATAAGAGTTGATTTTGAAAAAGAAAACTTCATTACCCAAAAGAGTATTTGAGAGAATTAATAAACCATCCTAATTATGCTTATCAGGTAAATGAGACATTTTTGTCTCCCTAGATCTTTGACCAAACTAAAGTCAAGCTTGAGCAAGACAGGTAATTTAGTACATATACAAGGGAATCAGAACACTTACGAAGCTACAAGAAGGGATTGAGTTTCTGCTCAGAGTCACTGTTTTTTGTTTTTTGTTTTTTTTTTTTCCCTCAGACAACACACACAAACCTCTTGGTATCTACTTAATATTAGAGAAGCATGTTGAAAACAATTTGAAACCCCCAAAGCACACATTTTCAAAGGGGAAATGTGTTTCTTTATATGCCGTTATCCACTCTGGCATAAAGTACTACCCCATTTCAAAAAGCCATTGATAAATATCCAAGTCTAAAAGGACAACTTACCATACTGCAGGCAAAGTGAGAGCATTTTCAAATGAATGAAGAAGCATGCATGATCAAGTTTCAATTTAAAAGAAAAATTAAAACAGAAAAAAAATTCTCCAAGTGTAAATTGCTTTGAGATGACCTTTCTGTACTGGCACTGTCTCCAAACAGTTAATTTCATGGGGCACTGCTTATTATGCATTTAAAATTGATCTATAAATTTTGAAAAGCAAGCATATAATTGCAACCATATGTAAACAACGTAGTAAGCTAAGCCCTACAAGGTGACAAATGTTATTCTGAGAAGTTCATGTGGCTGAACCTATTTCGAAAAAAAATTTTAATGGAAGTTAAATGCTTGCCAGGACAAGTATCCGCTAAGATTTTTGCATTTAAATTCTGTACAGCAAAACAAAAATAGAAATAATTTCATGATGGAAAACCACAGTGGTAGATAGACAACAATCCTACAATGGAAGATAGCAGGCCGTTTGTTGTGCCAGTCACAGTAAAACTTCTGAGAATGACGTCAATATGAAAACATCATACTGAAAAGCACACACTCTCTGACCATTAAATATGTATAGCAAGTAAAGTAGTATATTAAATCTTTCATCATTGCCTGAAAAATTTGAAATTCAGAGAACTAAAACTTGAAGAGAATTAATCTCCATAAATTAAGAAAATGAAAGGTCACTTGTAATCCCTGAGGGACATACACATACATGATCCAAGAGAAGCACAAGGCCGTGACAAATCCATAAAGCTTACCTTGGCAGGTGCCATTTTTCTCTTCATATCCGGCCTTGCACATGCATTTCCCAATGGGAACCAGCCACTCCCCTTCAGCACTGCAGTGCATTTTGGGAGGATCATCTGTCACAGAATGGTTAACACAGGAGCCTGCCACCTCTAGCAACTGTGAAGAATCAGCTCCAGTGATGGTGTCAGGGAAGACAGCCAAGTGTCTTATCACAGAAGGACATTTTTTATAGTACACACGCACAGAAACCAGAGCAATGCAAGCACCGACATCTTGGAAAGCGAGATAAAATCCCTTTTTACTCAAAGGTCCTACATCTCTGACTTCCGTATTCAGTTTCATGACACGGTCTCCAAGATCAAGTTCTGTAAAACTCTCATCAGCAGCAATGGTGTCAATCTTGATGTACTGGTTCTCTTTAACATTTCTCCCATTCTCATCATCAGATTCAAAATAATACATGTTAAATGTCTCCTTACAAGTGCCCAGTCCTCCAGGGAGGCTGTTGCAATCTCTTAGAGTAAATTTGAGCTCAATAAAGATTCTGGAAGCACCTTCATTGGAGATCCAACTGGTCAACAGCCAATTATTCTGATTCTGTTCCATAACTTTGCACACTTGGTATGTGTGGATAGGAGCATAGTTTTCATCAACTTCACCAATCTCTTCCCACTGTTCAAGATAAAATAGAGAGATGTGAGAAAAGTGGAAACTCAAAAAGTAAAAAGGATAATCGCATTTACCAAAAAAATACAAAACTTAATTTATTGAAAGAAATATATGTATGTATATATAATTGAAATAAGTAGTATAAATGTTTGGGGAGAAGAGATTCACAAAGACATTTTGATTTTCTGAATTTAATGTTAGGGATTCAATGTCATGTCTCATGCATACTCAGAATATACAGCTTTATATTAAAACACTTAAAAAGAGAATTATATTTGGTAAGCAGAAAGAAGAAAAATGGATTAGATGGAACAAAGGTAAGTCTCTAAATAAGATTAAAATTATGGTATAGATAGTGTCTAAAAGTTCCCTGTGCTAAAAATTTGATCCCAGCTCACAGAACTATTTGGAAGATATTGCTACAATGATTTTTTAATGGTCTAACTAGGAAACAAAAATATTATTTTGACAAAGGAACATAGCAACAAAATGTCTACTGCTGACATGTTAATATGCCCATGGATGAGTTCATCCCTCAACTCTCATCAAAGAATATTCTTACCTAGACCCACAATTGCCCAATGCTCAGAGATTGAGAGATTTTAGAGCACTCCTAGCTAAATAGCATTTTCTGTTTGTTTGCTTGCTTGTTTTTATTTATTTTTACCAAACCCTTTCCCTCAAGGCTATGCACAGAAAGATTGTAAGAGCAAGAGGTGGTGGATGAAGCCTAAGAAACAACATCTTTCATAGAGAATATGACTGTTTACACATGAATGTACCGAGACTGTGACACCCCACAAGACCTGCACAGGTTTAAACCAGATAAAATTCCACCACTGAAAAGAGGAAGTGGAGAGAAGACTCACCTCTAGCCTAGAAGCTATTCACAGTCACTGCCTGCTGGGAAAGAGGAAATCGGTTTTCTCCAATGGAGTATCACATTCCACGGGAAAGCCCCAATGCCCAGATATAATTGACCAATACAAAACAGACTCGATATTTTTTAGGAAGGTGGCTTTTTATTTTTCATTGATTTTGTCTTGTTTTTATTTGTTTTGTTTGCTTATTGCAGATTTTTTGTTGAGAGGGAGAGAGATCATTAAGTAGGGAGATGAGAAGGAACTGGAAGGGGCACGGGGAGAGGAAAAATATGTTCAAAATATATTGCATGAAAAGATTAAATAAAAAGAAAATAAGACAGCTGAGACCTATACGGAAATCATTAATTAATTGCACAGATTCCTTCAAAGAGAATGAGAGGAACTACTCCCTTATTTTTCTTTCTGTAGTACTCTACTCAGGTAAGCAGTTTTTCTCCACCGCAAACCCTTGCAGCACCAAGGCTAAGAGTTATGGGACCCAACTGGTCAAAGACCAAATCCATTAAAACTTCAAACTAAGGTTTAATTTTTCTTCCTATAACTTAATTACAGCAGGTATTTCTTGTAGAGTTGAAAGCTAACAAGGTAAGTAATTTTTAACTGGAACAAAAGTATAATTTTAAATAAGAAAATGAGAACATAGAATAGCAAGCACACAGAAGAAATATATTACTCTTGAGAACATAATAATTTAGTATATTTAATATTATGTTGCAAATAACACATAGATATAATAAAATTTGAAAGGTAATATATTAACTCAAAATTAATAATAGATATTCAATATTTCATATTGATTCCAAAACATAGCTTGAGAGAAAAGGACTTATAAATCACTTATTCCCAATAAAATACTCACATTTTAACAATATCAAGATATCAGATTCTAGAACAGCACATTAGACATTCATTTTTTAAGATATCAGTTCAATTTAAGAAATTTTGTAAGCTTGTACAGAATCTATTTGAACAGTATAACTCTATATAATTAAGTTTTTTAATATCTTAGAAATACAGTCAGCAATCAATAATAGTGACTTTCAATAAATGAAAAATATGTAGTTTCAGATATTAGATATTATACATAAAAGTCAGAGAAATTTATTTCTGGAGCTGTGAAATTAAAGATAGCATTTTGTTTGTTCTTTCTGTTCAGTTGGCAAGAATGTAGGAAATGTAAAGTCAAATAGACAGAAGTAAATCTTATACTTCAAAGGCCCTACATAACATTTCCAGCTGCCATCAGACAGACACATGTAAAAGGTGAAAATGAGATAAAACTGTTGAGTGAAAAATTCACAAGAGAAACTAAGGAACAAAAGTGTCACATTTGTGTGTCTTTAGAAACCTAAGTTCTTTCATTCTGTGTAGTTTCTTCTCTCTTTAAAATGAATATTAACTTTGCCTAGCTACTGATTTTAGAGTTGGTATTTGGTTATTCTAAGAACAAGCTGCTTATATATTCACCCACAATCAATTTCAGTGTAACTCCTTCATTATAAATCATCTCTTCACATCATGGTGAATATTTAAAATAAAGGAACAAACAAAAATAATGTAAAAATCAATATACCATAATATCAATTAAAGAGGTGTGCTTTATATCAGTAAAGGGGAATACAACATTAATAAAAGAAAATTCAAAATACTACTACTTAAATATTCATCTGATGATATTCTATCAAACAAAGAACAACTGGGTTTCTAATCATTTGCCATCAAATGCTTATAGAAGACTTATTCTCCATCATATATTGTTACAAAGTCCTGAAGGATGAGTTTACCAAGTCGATTAATGAAGCATACCTTGAGTTCCCAACATCATAAAACAAGGCAGGCACAGCCCTTTTGAGTGAAAAATGAACACTAAGTGTGCTTTCCAAGTGGCACTGATCAGGGCAGCTGTACACTTCCTGTTTCAGGTGCCAATTTCAAAGCATGCACATTAATGTCATGCTGCCCTGAATTGTTTAAATTAATGGGAAGAAATATTTAGAATCTGTTCTAATCTATACTTTGAATGAATAAAGTTGAAATTGAACAATATATTTTTCAATAAACAAAGAGAAAATCTTTAACCATTTTGACAAAAAATTGCAAATAGTGACTACAGAAATTCCCCACATCTGTTGTTCTCAGTTAAAAAAATAACAGTTTAAAGAAGGAGAAGAATATTTTATGTTTCAGATCATCTGAAATAATAGACTTAAATCTTTGGTACTTCTATTCCTCCTAGCAAAAAGAAATGATCTTCCTACTCTCAAGGGGAAAATAATACAGGTGTGATGAAGAAGCAAAACAAATAAAATAAAATAAAATAATGATGAAAACATGATGCATCAAGAACTCAGGAAAGGAGTAGGTAAAATTCTAGTTATTTCACAAAAGTCATATCAAGGATATTGTAGTATTTTAGTGAAAGACATGGAAATTATTATCTCTTCAGTTTTTCTGGATGACCTATGACTTTGTGGTCTCTCTCTCTCTCTCCCTCTCTCTCTCTCTCTCTCCCTCTCCCTCTCTCTCTCCTCCCCTCCCCCCTCCTCCTCCTCTCTCTCCCTCACCCCTCCACACACACTGCTCCCAGGGACGAATGTATGAATATGGAAGGTCTGGCCACTGAATGTAAATAGTGTAAACACAAGTCTGACTCTGCAGGTCAGGACAATGCCCAAAAGTCTCTAAGTTCATGTTCTTCTCTGTATCTGTGTCCTGCTTATTCCTATGTTTTTGCCTTCAAATTTAAGTTCCGGTTATATGGTTAAACAGATATCTTAGATTGGCATGATGTCTCTTCCAATTGCTTATTTTTTTCTTTCTTCAGTCTTCAAAAGTCCTGAGAAGTTGTGTTCTTCACTCACAACTGTTCAAATCTCTCATGTCCCCCACACTCATAAGGAAACTGAGTCCCTGACTGATATATGTGGCATAGACTGTTATTTTTTTTCTTTATCCCTAACTATAGGAATGGTTTTCTTTGATCTGCTCTCACTGCCCTTTAAGCTTGTTCTCTGGAGCACCAGCTATCATCTCCTTCTGCTACATCATGGCTCTCCTTTCCAACCCACCAGCACATGTATTATGTCTTTTTCCTTTAATACTTGAAAATGCCCAGGACACAGAGTTCAGGCTCTAATCTTCCTCTAGCTGGTGCTCCCAAATCCACACTAAGAAACATTGTGTGAATGGAAATTATTCTGACCTTTATGTTATCAAAGGTTCCCTTTTCATTATTTTATTTATTTATTTATTTATTTATTTATTTATTTATACATCAATGAATTAATCAATTGAGATCAAAAAACAGTGGTAAAAAAATCCACAGCCAACCTCTGGATAAACATGATTGACTGTCATGTTCATAGGGAAATTGTCAGTTCAGTTTTAATGCCAAATACTCTGATGTCTAAATGTCTAAACAAGTATCCAGGTACAGCAGCTCTGCAAGCTAAATTGAGAACTGAAGCTATCTACTATGATCAGTTAAAAATACTAATGTCTACATGAAAAAAATAAAAACAGGAAGGGTCTGAAGATTGGATGTTCTACGGATTTCAGAAATATAATATTTGAAGGGAAGAAATAAGAAAGGGCATTTTATAGCGCATGTATGCACAGAGCCCATCTGACCAACCTTGCTTTTGCAGGTCTAGTTCTGATTTCCAGTATCTCTGTCCTACATTTAAGGATTGATTCCCTTGGGTGATTCCTCTCTTTACTGCACCAGTTACTACGTCATTCTGTTGGAACCATGTTACTAATTTTAGCCATCAATGACTCATAATAAATCCTTTCTGTGAGCAGTATTATTAAGAGACAAGTATATTAGAGTTGAAGCATGGCCATCCTAGTGTTTATGCAAATTCAGACTCTTTCTTGAAAAACTTAATGGCAAGCGTTGCCCTCCTTAATCCAGAACAATGTCAATTACATACTCCTTCTTAATCCAGAGCCTCAACTAATTAGAAATAATTCATTATTGGTAGATCACAGACTACTGACCTTGTAATTTGCATTCTGGTAAAAACCAAAATAAACTTTCCTATAAACTGTCCAAATTTTCTAGATTCAAATTAGAAATTTTATGAATTTAGAATATTTGTGAACAAATGTGCTTTA